GCAGCAGGGACAGCGCTGTCCCGCGTCCTAAACTACGTTGCCCGAGGCGCGGTCACATTTTGGAGGAAGGCGGAGTTCGGTCACGGCGGCCGTGCTCAGCGCGCTGCTCATGCAGGACCATGTGAACCTTGGATGCTGACTTGGGGGCCAAACTCATCTCGTATGACAACGGCCTGGAGTGTCCGTGGGGTAACGGGCGCACGGTCAGGTTTCCCACGGTCAGCTGGAGGCTTTGCCAAGATAACCCTCGCGCAGCCCCTGCAAGCAGACGTCTCGGCCCTTCTGTTTGAAAGTCTATATCTGGCGAGCATGGCAGAGCGAATACGTCACCCCAGAGCCAAGCTCTGGGAAGTAAGCTGAATTCACCCACTTGGGTTAGTTTTAACGGGAGTTTGTCGGCCAGGATAGCTCCCTCCGGGGTGGGATGATGCGTCTGCCTCTCGTCAAAGATGGGTGTCTGAGGTGTTTTCATGGGCTCCCCAGCCTGGAGGAGGAGCCCCCCCCGGCCCCAGCACAGGGGTCTCCCTGCAGGACTGGGTGCAGCCAGTGCCCGAGGCATCTGGAGCCGAGGGGCTGCCCCAAGGGCGGAGGGGTCACTGCAGGCCTGGAGCCCCCACAGCGTGTGGCGGGCGGACATGCCAGCCACACGGTTGCAATTTCCACCCTGAATGCACCTACTTTTTAGGTCCTCGTTTCCTAAAGGTAATTACACTCCCCAGGAGAGCTCTTTCTGTTAAAAAAAAAAAAGAAGAAGAAGAAAAAAGAAAGAAAAGAAAAGGCAAAAGCAGACGGGGTTTACAGCCCGGTTTCCTGCCCTGCAGCCGACTGACTGCAGCTTCCTCTCTGGCTTGTTCTAGACTTTTCAGTGGCCAGACTCCTACCCAAGACCATGAACTCCTCCCACTACCGCTTCCCGGCCCGCGGCCAGAGCTACATCGAGATCCCCCAAGAGGCTTTTCACAGCCAAGGTGAGCGCAGCCGCAGACCCCTGCAGCCCGGGACCCTGGGGGGAGACGCAACCTGGAGAGCTTTGGCCTGGCCTGGCCAAGGGGCTGCCCGGCCTCCTCCCGGTCCCGGCAGGGGCGGCTCTGGGCCAGGTCTCCGTGGTGGGAACACAGTGTGTCGCTGGAGGAGCCTAACGTGTTCTCCCAGGCTCACTCCAAGTCCGCGCCAGCCCAGCGAGCCGGGACTGGGGAGGAGGGGCCGGGAATCCGCATCCTGGGCAGCCCGCTGGGTGATTTTGGTCCTCCGGGCGGGAGGCTGTGCGTCCTCTTGAATCTGCACGGCTCCTCGCTAGCAGAACTTGAACGGGTGTGACCGCCTCCCCGCTCAGGGCGGCCTCAGGCTGGGTGAGGGGGTCTGCCTGCTCAGGGACCCCGGGTCCTCCTGGGCAGGATGAAGCCGAGGGCTGTAATGAACCAGCAGCCGAGGTGACCCTGGTTACTCCATCCGGGGCCCCAGGTGGTTCTGGCCGTTTTTGCTGCAGTGACTGTCCCCTCTGCCCCTTGAAAGGTGACTGCGCTCTGCAGGCCTGTCCCTTCCTGCCAGGGGCCTTGGGCAGTCAGGGAGTCGTGGGTTCTTAGCTCCTGACAACCTGGCCAGAGGCCACATGCTTCCTGGTTCTGCCTTGTTGACTGGGGACCAGGCTGGGTGATGCAGGACCGTGATGGCCTCTCCCAGCAAGGAGTCGTCACTCCCTGGCCCTCGGGAGCCCTCCTCTGTTCCCTGCTCCCTCTAGTTGGCTGGTGTGACAGGTGCTCCGGGATGTCAGGTGTGTCCTGCCCTCAGGGGGCCGTCCCCCCACACTCAGGGTGAACGGGGGAGTGCAGTTCAGGGGTGGACAATGCCACGGGTGACCGGCTGCGTATGCGATCCTTTCTCATCTCACGCCCCCCGGCTGCATGGAGTGTTGGAAATCCTCAGTTTTGCAGAACTGGCAGGGCCACAGCCTCGTGGTCTGTACATATGGAAACTTCTCACACTTGGCAGGAGAACGTATTAGTCACAGCACCGACGCTGTGGCTGGAATTTTTGGCCTCGAATCCTGGCTCGGCCACTTACCGGCTGTGTGGCTTGGACAAGTTGCTGCACGTGCCGGGCCTCAGTTTCCTTTTCTGTGAAACAGGGGGCAGTCAGAGTACCTGCCTCAGTGCGTGGCAGTGGGAACTGAACCAGCAAAGCCCTCATCCCGGGCCGGGCCCACGGGGAGCGGTGAGCGCGATCAGCATTGCTGACTGCATTTGTGAAATGCTAACACCCTCCACAGAGTCCGGAAGAACTGAGAAGTCAGCTCGCGGCTTGCTTCCCCCAGCCTCCTGTTGAGCTGGTGGAGGGAAGTAACGGAATATATGATTCCGGCTTCCAAGTTGTGATATTCTGAGAGGTGGGACCCAGCCGGAGGCATGACAGACGTCGGGGTGACTTGTGAATCCTGCTTCTGCTGCCTCGCTCAAGTGCTGGCGTT